AGCAAGGAGATCGTTTATAAGCTCTCCATGAGATATTCCTCTGTGAAATCCACTTTTTTGTCCGACATCGGTGTTTGAACACTGCTGTCTACGCACCATTGCACGAATCTGGTGGGGCAACCGGACGAGCAATGCTGAGGCTAGGCGTCGATTTCAATTAACCGCGGTCGCCCATTGGAGAAAATGGAAGACCTCCATAGATTACGCTTGTTGGGACGTGTTACACATATCACCAAATAGGTTGCCACGGCGAGCGATGTTCGCCGAGGCAGGTAGTGGTTAAAATAAAGCCCAGGGTCGTCAAGTTAAGACCTGGCACGAGCGTATGAGAACACTGATCAGGAAACTCGGTCACATAGGTCCCGTTGGGCTCTCTGGTTGGATGATCCTAACGGGTGGTTAAAGACACTGAGTGATATGGCTGAGTCTCGTGCATCGTCTCCATTCATTTGCAACCTAAGTTCGCTTGAATTCAGCATTTTATCTTCGATCCAATTTTCAACTTTCTTGTCTTTCTCTTACTGTTCCAAAGAGTGTCAACCAAAATACAGTAAACAAAACTGGTGCACGAAAATGCATGGTTAATGTTTGTATAAACTGAAAACTGAACTATGAATCACTTATCCTTTAATAGTCGGGGACGCTGGTAAACTGTATTTATTTCCCCTCGTGTATTTGCATTACCAGAATGGCTTACAAATGTGAGTTCTGTGTATGAATATTGTCGTTTCATCTTTTCAAATACAAGTGACGCCAAATCGTGTGGTGCTGTTCCCCCCCGACCGAATGGTTCACAGTTAAGTAATCGGATGCAATGTTTTGGGAATAGATTGTTTTTTAAACAATTACGACCACTGGGAACCAGTATACACATTAGTTGCGTGAGAGAGGGCATTTTATCAACCATTCACATTTCGATAACGGGAGTTCAAACTGCTTGTTACATATTATCCTTTTTTTCAGGATAGCCACTTGTCATGCCTATGGTGTACCTCCGTTTGGACCCGTGATCGATGAAACGCGTGTGTATGAACACGGTCCCGAATTGGCCAATCTTTTGCTCGAGAAGGGTAAGTTATCATTCATGCATGTTTGGACTATTCCTTGTCTTGCAGGATGATCTAACGAAAGGAATGTGGCGGGTTTGGGGTTTCATGACGCGTACGTTTGAATATGCCGTTCTGTGCAATAACTTGGTTTGGTAGTCAATTATGGCGGAAATTAATCAAGTAGAATCTCTTCTAGTAAAGATTGTGGGGACAGAAATAAGTCATAATTCTTCAGGGCAAGATCAGTGGCTCAACATTTCAACAACATATTTACTTTTATGAAGTGGCTTTCATTTGTATTTGTTTTTTAATCTCATCTTGTTAAGTGCAGCAATCAATGGAGACGTGCTGTAAATTTCATTCGCAAAGTTCAACTCGTGCCCGTGTGTACGCGCGCGCATGTGCAGTCGTTCATTCTCCACATCTGCTCGTTGCTTAAACGGTGTGGTGTTTGGTGGGGTCACGTGCTTCATCCAGATGCAATGCATCTTCGCGAGCTGGACTCAGGGTGATAGATGTGGCACCGCGTTCTCACCTGTCCTGATTATCACAATGGTCGATACACTATCACCACAGTGTTCCACGCATGCCCCTAAGGTTCATCGGGTCGATGTTTGAGTGAGAACAATCCTGTTATTGGATTTGATCCAGACCAATTACATGTATGCACGGTTGGTAAAACATGATATCCCATGTACTCTTCCCGTGCGGACAATAACACCGGTTCCTGGGTATGGATTTGATCATTTTGCTTATCGATTTATTAATCCAATCAAGTTTGCTTGTAGATCTTGAAACTGCAATTAAGAAAACAACAACAATAAAATAAGTTTATGGATTACCATGGCACTAAATCCAGGTATTTGTCGCTCCACACTGAATACTCCATCTCTACAGTTAAAATATTGCCAATTAACGGATTCGATCGGGTTTTTCTCTCGAAATTTCTTATCTAATCAAAGTATATAGCAGCCATTGGAAGTGTTCGTAGAAATTGGAGTTCGGGCTACTTCGCTTTGCTGAGTGGAACCGAACGCGACAAACCAAATACACTGAATTTCCTGGCGGAATAACACTCAGAAGTCACACGAGGTCACGAATGTAGTTACATTTTCACGAGCGCTGAGAGACGAATGTCTGATTCAACCACACTGAACGATGAATGAATCACATTCAGTCGAAAAAGTGAACACGTGACATTTTTGACCGGGGGAAACAGTTCGGATTTAGATATAAATGTATGAATAAACTTGACAACGCATTACAAAGTGGATTCCCCGGTGGTACATATGGCATTTTTCTTCAACAGTGCAACTCTGGTCCTTGCACTGCTGAGCTCTATATGAAAAGATCATGACAATGATCGGTTTCGCGCTCATCACCACACTTTTTACTAACTCTCGTGGCATATTTCTGTCAGAGTGATAACTTGTTAAGCAAATATCCGACTTGCCTCTCACTCATTCTGTCCCCAGATCCTCCCTGGGATGTCTATCCAGCATTTTGTCTCCTAAGTGGAGACGTTTCTAGNCGTTTCTAGAAGTGTACAGCTCCACCGATCGTGTCCCAGCCCATCACTTTCGAGGATAGCTCACAAAACCCCGTTTGTTGCGTTCAGTCACACACAGGTTAGAAGGTTTGAGCTAGAACGCAAAGCCTCCAAAAGCCTCAGTATGGTCGGGGTTGATGTCTGGGGTTCTAACTGGTTACCATTCACTTACGCCTCACGAAATGCCCCTATATGACCAAGCGTGTCAAATAGCCTCTGCTGAGGAAGCCTTGCTCCCTATCTGCCCGTGACGGAGGTGCTTTCTCAACAAAGTGAGACGACGAAAGGTCAACATCCGGAGCTATAACCGTGTTGGTGAACCATTGACACTTCATCTAGGAGAGTTGGCTGTAAACCCTGCTTCTAAACCAAGAGGAGGCGTACGAACCACACACATACCTTCCTGGTTGTGGCAATGGTCTCCGTCTCGATTGAGCATCAAGATGTATTGAGCACCTTGGACAGTTGATCCAGTCCAAATGATCCAATGAGCTGGATACCGGCTCCCAATGGACTCCGGGCTATGAGATCCGTCCTGTTGTCTTGAAGGTTTTGCTTTCTAGCCAAAGTCTTCGGGTTGGGACCCTGAGGTTATCCCCCTTCCTTGGTCAGCAAAACCGGGAATAAAATGCCCACACAACCTGTGAATACGTTCTACAGACGTTTTGTTCATTTTTTGTAGCACATTTGCCAGTTCTGTGTAATTGGTTACGTGTTGAAATAATGATAATAATACTAACAATAATACTAATAAAACGCCAAGCACAGCGTGAGTAAAATGAGAAAACTAAGTGCGATGCGTTGACTGTTTTCGATGCAGATATTTCTTTACTGGGTTCATTGGGAATAATGGTTAACAGGGTGTTACGCCTACATAAGTGAAAAGCAAGTATGCACTGTGAATAGACAAGATGCCTGCACATACTACTGATAATATTCATGTAAACCAGGGAATATTTTAAGCGAAGCCAGGACTGAAGGTATTCACGAAAATTGGGAGTAGCGCGAATTAGTTTGTCAGAATGAGGGAATTAACTAATCAAAGATGATCAGAGAACACAGAGAGGTAGTTAACTTTGGTGAGCTTAGAACATACAAATATACAATCAACATTCAAGAATGGGGTGCGGCCGTACAAATGCTGAGTGGGGAAATACAGACAATGAAGCCAGATGGATGATAGCGGTGGCAGGGTTCAAACTCAGGACTGCTATTTTGATGATCTTAACCAGTGATCTACCGTCATTGGGATGGAAAACTGAGACATTCCACCTAATTAATAGTTGCTCCGATTGATTGATAGGAACTACATTTTCGTTTGTTGTGTTAGGTCTCCAAGTTCCATAATTTGTGCGGTCGGCGATCTCATACCTCTGATGACATCCAGCCCAAAATGGCTTTATCCTGGTGTTGAGATGATCAACGCTTCTGTGCCCAGTTATTTTGCTTTACACGCAAAAATAAACACACAGGATCCTGAATTTCCGTGATCCATTTTCCTCATCACCAACGCCCCCCCCCACCGGGAGGGGGGGGGAAAGCTGTAGTGGAAAAGATACTACATATGCGAATCATAATGAAATGTTAGGTACATGCATCGGACTCACAGGAAGATTGTCCAGTTGATTGAAAGATTCTGTTCCTCGGGAATAAAACGACTATAGTAGTTAATCAAACCCCGTAAAGATTTAAGTTCTTTAACGGAAGTTTGACGGGGGAGGTCCTAACTGGCTGTAACTCTTGGAAGACAGTGAGAGAATGCCTTGGGAATTAATGTTATGACCCTGAAGTTCCGAGAATGAGACATTGAAAATGCATCTAGATGGGTTTAATGTAGGAACATAATGCTGAAAACGTGAAAATAAAATGCACAAGTGGGAGCTGTGCCTTTCGGGTGAAGTGCTAGCTATTAAAATGTCATCCAAGTAAACAATAACAAGTCAAGATCTCAAGTTACTTGGTGCATAAAACGTTGAACGGTAGGTGCTGGATTACGTAAAACAAAAGGCATTCGTAAAAATTCGAACATACCAAATGGGGTTGTGATTACTGTTTTGGGAATTTCGGATTCAGTCACTGGGATGTGATAGTATGCACGCACAAAGTCGACTTTGGAAAAATTTGTTTTGAGTGGAGAATGAGTGTGAAGTAATGTATGTGTGGAATGGAGTATCTGTCGGGTATGGTGGAGTTGTTGAGTGCTTTGTAGTCGCAACAAGGACGCCAATCTCCAGGGGTTTTCTTGGGTACTATATGCAGTGGGGATGATTAGGGGGAGTTGGATGGACGAATGATGCCAAGCTGGAGCATGTGGTCGAACTCTGCACGAGCCATGGTCAATTTCTCGGGTGAGTCGGCGAGGTCTGGCGGTGACGGGTTGGTGATGATGCTGTGGGTCAACTCTTGTGTAACACTTGCAGGTTCATAGGAGGGTTGTGTCAATTCTGGGAATTCACGAAGAACATTGAAGAAGACGGGTCACTCGGGTTCGGGTAGAAGGAGTCCCATGGAACGGATGCTCATGGCACGAGCACTGACAGATAATGAAGTGGAGGTGTCGAGCACTTTTTGCTGCTTGACATCAGCAACGAGACTAAAAGCAGACAAAAGGTCAACACCAATGGTGGCAGTGTAGACATCAGCGATGGTGAAAATCCGCCTGAATGGTCGTCTTAAAGCAAAATCGACGGTGATGGAGCGACGACTGTAGGTGTGAATGCGACTACCTTTGGCTGCTTGTGGGGTGACAGTGGTTGGTCGAAGGTGGCGGTGGTGAGAGTTACACTGAGTTCAGCACCGGTGTTGATTAAAAATCGGATACCTGTGCTTTTATCTTGAGTGAATAGCACACGACGTAAACAATATCGGAAACAAGCGCCGTCATTACTGTCCGGCTTTGAGGTTTCCCTATGAAGTGAACGAACAGGGTTGAGTGCATTTCTTGGCTCTGGGGCCCAATTGTTGGTAATACCAGGGATATTGAAGGTTGGAGCTGGCTTGGGGTGGTTTCTACGGGTCTGTGAAGTCCAGCGACTTCAACTTCGGTTGCGGCTGGATGACCGTGAGCAGGAGAGGTGAAGAACCACCTGCTGCATCTGCAGTTCAAGGTTTTCCATGAGCGAACTGATGTCATCTCAGCGAGAACCGGTCGGGGTTGGGTTGGAGCAAGCGGTAAGCAGTTGCGAAGCTGGGCTTGCTTCGAACATTTTATCCGCGGCCATTGCCATTTCATCCAACGAACTGTTGGAGGGGACGGATAAAACTTCGCGGATGCGTGTAGGAAGGCGTTTTAACCAAAGCTGACGGAGGATTGTGTCATCGAGAACTCTGAAGCCAAGGACCTGCCTCAAGTGACGCAGTTATTGGGACAGGGTGAGGTCGCCAATTTCGAGATCCCCAAACAACTCATCCAATCGGCGTTCATCCGACACACCTGTGCAGGTGATCAACGCTTCCTTTAACTGAGTGTATGGGTCATTCTCGGGCATGGTGATGATAAACTAGGACACCTGTTCCGCAAAGTCTGTGGGCAGGGAAGTGACTATGTGGGAATACATAACCGTTTGGTAGCGGATGCGATGCGCACGGAAATGAGCTTCGACTTGGGCGAACCATAGCCGGGGGTTATTGATACCGAATGCAGGTAACTTAATGTGGGAAGACATCTGGAGGTCTTCTAGGTCGTGTTTTGATTGCTGCATATAAAACGCGTACAGGAAAAACAAATAAAGTAATATTCCTAAAGAACCGGGATACCGTAGAAAAAATATGAAACTAGAAATAATCTAAACAAAGGCTCACCAAATATGTGGTGGAAAAGACACTACATATACGAACAATGATGAAATGAAAACTACATGGAACGGGCTCACAGACAGATTGTCCGGTTGGTTGATAGATCCTGTTCTTTGGAAGTGGGACTTCGGTTAATAATGCGCTGTGGAGCGGAAAAGGATGCCTGTTACAGTTAAGGGACCGCTTCACGATAACTGATGATGTACGCGTAATGCTTCAGCAACACTCGGAGAACACGTGCGTAGTCACGAACAGTTTCTATTGTGTTGTAACTTCTTGAGCGTGTTAAAATAAGCTGTACATTACTGTCATATAAAAGTAGATAGAAAAGTAAGACGCTAGAAAGTCTTGTGGTTGAAATGTACAGTTTAATAACAATAACGACCTACATGTTAATAAAAGTTCATTGAATTCACACACTCGGTATGTGGAAGAACTCTTCTTGCGGTGGTTGTTTAAAATAAAATCTGCTCTATTTTATAGTACAAATCGGATCTGTTAAACACTTTCAAATCATGTACTAATAGTGTGTTACCGCGCTTCGCGTGTTGCACCAGTAACCCTTCGATCCAGAGGGTCGTATCTCACGGAAGTTGGTGAATTTGTGCTGTTCCTAATTAAAGTAGGTGACTTTGCTCAGGGAGTTTACAACCGGATCCTTCGGCTAGCCAAAGAATAACTCACAAGACAGTGCAACGGTTTGTGAAAACCTCGAGTGATTGGGGACCATTGTTTCCAGTACATCGAATCATACACCCTTCGGAAGAAATCAAACGGTTAAGGTGTCCAGTACACCTCAATACTCAATCAAACTAACACAACCAGGAAGGTGTGGGTTTCCGGTTCGTACTCCTATTCTTGGCTGGTTTGGGATCAGGGTTTTTAGCTAACTCCCGTGGGTTAACTTCCAGTGGTTCACCAATCCGGTTATACTCCCGGATATTGGCTTTTCGTCCTTTCTTTTTAGTGGTAAAACACCTCCGTCCTACGAGAAGACAGTGTGTAGGGCTTCCTCAGTAGAGGCTATTTGAGACACTTGGTCGTACGGGAGCATTTCGGAGGTACAACGGGAGGCTTGCTCAGCCGCAATCGCTGACACCAACTCCCGAACATACTGAGACTTCATATTGCACTGATTGAAGTTTGAACTGTTTCCGCAGTTGATAGTCATTTGAAATCGGTGATTAGTGTCGCTTTTGTGCTCGAGACGTACAAAGAAAAGCAAATGACGATGTCGGGGGGAGAGGATCAGTAGGAGGACAGAAGATGTGTGGGTTAAACAGAACAAAAGAAAAACCGCAACCACTCGAGACAGAATGGGAAGAACAAAATCCCAAGCTGAACGAGAACTATAGTGCTTGCAAGCTGAACACCTCGATTGATCGAATAAGAGAGAACCCCGTACAATGGGAAATAGAGAAATCCATGAGGTTCCGAATCACAGATAACACAGCACGTTGCACGGGTAAAGTGAGACAAGATAGGAATAAATGCCAAAAGCATTCAGTTTTGAACAGACGAAAGCGAACAATTTGATAGACATGACCCTCAAAAACATATCGATGGGTCTTGAAAGCGAAAAAGGGCGGGATAGTTTCAGCAGGTTGCACAAATGTGTGGACAGAAGAAAGTCAGAATACAGATTTAATGTGAAGGGGGGAAGGGGTCACTTTCACGGGGAACAGTATGTAAGGTTGTAGGGTTGGGAGGTTGCACCGAATCGTAATGGACAGGAACAAAGCCTTCATAACGAGGCACACAGCAGTCACATGGACAGAACTAAATCCGGACACTATTATGTAAAAAACAGCTGGAAACAAACAAGGTGAAGCTCAAAGTTCGCTACGCGATCTACAATTGACGATATTGAGCCAATTAAACCTGAAAGCTCTCCTTCGATCAATCGTTCTCGACGATCAATGCGAATTAGATGAAACAACCTAGCAATTGTTTGGCTGAAACTGTTAGAGATTAGCAAACAACATGAATCGTGCATCCCATAGGCCGCTATACAAACAGGTGGCAAAGAATGTTCCAGTTAAAGTTCAACAGCTTGAATGGAACTAGTTCGAACTCAGATTACTCGTAAAACCGCGAACTAAGCCATATACCCATCATTCCCCCACGACCACCACCACAAAACTTCTTGCTTTTATCCATTCCCGAGGGATTCTTCTCAAGTGAGCGTAGGCGACAAGGTACTTGATTGAGCAGTTAATCACACTGACCGAATTCAATGAGCCTCGATCCTCCTATTCCTGTGATGCAGTTTCCGTTCGTGTGAGCTGATACATACACATTCACACCGGATTGGTTAATGTGAGCCCAATACTCATTGTTCCTGTCGAGATCGAAAAGTTTAATTTTGTGCTAATACCGGCACTGATGTTACTACGATAGCTTCGTGTTTTGAAACCGATCAAGTTGATTTTAGAAACTAATGTAGTGATCCCCCCGGGGACAAACAATCTCAGAGTGCAGTTACATCTGCCCAGCTTCGACGATAGTCACTTCGCGTGCGCGGCCGAGGAGCAAGAACTGTAAACGTTTTTACAGATAAATTTCGACATTCAAATGGTAAGTCGCGACCAAATGTAGATTTGTTGTTCTTTTTGTTGTTGATTCTACTAACAATTGTGTTCTCTTTGTTCTTCCCCTGTCTCCGTTACCCGTTTTAGCCTGTAATGCTGCAAATGCGGCTATGAAAGTCGACAAATTTCAAACGATGATTCAACGTTCCCGAACGGACTATCTTCGACAGTTTGCTAACGATCACGTATGGTCTAGTTCAATCACCCGAATCAGAGAACGTGAGTTGTGATACTTGTTCAGTAGCGATGACAGTTTTGTGCAATGACCGAGGGAATGGTGTTGGACGCCTCTGTTCGTTCTTGTGCGAATTTGGGTGTACTACTTTTTCATTCCATGCTGGGATTCCAATTTCGATCAACAACAACAGCAGCAGCAGCAACAACAACAACATACTCAGATTTGTGCTTCCTGGTATTTCAGTTACGTCACGTTGGCTATGTGACCCAGTTCTAAGGGATCGGTGTTACTGTGTGAAAATGCGTGTGCGTGGGCAGGGGGAGGGGTGGGTTCGTTCCGGGAGAGGGAGAGCTTGAATAAGACGCTTCTAAACACATAGTTCGCGGGTCAAATGTTCAATCCATATGGCTTCGGTTACGGCCAAAGTACGCATTCTAACATAATTAGACCGGTTGGGGGAAATCTGATAAATAACGCGGTATGCTTCAGTTGGGTTCACCAGATGATCAGTGTCTACCAAGTGGGCGAGAATGACACTTGTGATAGATCCGGAACCATCTTGACTCCGCTAGCGCGGACGGTGAGCTTTCATGATGTGAATGCTGTGATCAACTCCTAGATGATCAGTTTCGAACACAAACCTATTTCAGTTATCAATCGCACCACAGCCGAAAGTCAGCTGACATTATATACACATTATTATTATTGTATATCATATATATATATATATTATACACACATGCGTACGTACAACTCACGGCATATAAAACGTGCATTTCGGTTCACCGTATCATCGGTTTATGCTCACAGATGCGTTCCGTTGGTGATAGCTGCCGCTTTATTCACTTCGTAAAAGAATACTCTAATGTTCCTAAACAAACCATTCCCCCTGATTAGTCAATCCTCCTTTTGCTCCTCGTACTACTACTACTACTACTACTACTACTTTTATAATTCCAAAAGGCCAGTGCCGGGTCGAGGAGCTGGATGCATTTCAAGAACAACATCGGTCGAAACATTAAATTTGCAACATTTGGATAGTATTTTTGTGATCGTCTATTGATCGGTGATCGTAAGTTTGAAGGACTGTTTGTCTTTTCTGTAGTTGCAGTAATAAACCCTCTAATCCACTCGCGGATGCCGCGAAAATTTGAACAACCGCAATGTTGTTCACGTTGACTACTCATGAATGTGAGTAGTATCCCGCAACATTATAACTACTTTTGTTTGAGTTTTTTTTATCGAATGATTAGTTGAACAAGTAATTTGCGAGAGAAGTTATGTAACCAAGCCAAGTTCTGCCATTAGAAAAAATCATGCAAATCTCGGACGGCTGGTGGTGGTGATCGTTGTCGTCGTTCTCGTGGTCGGATATGATCCTATGATCATCCAGGGCGATGCATTACTTCCGCCTTCTGGTAATTGGGGAATCTGTCTATGAATTACTGAAACTTTCGAGGTATGCACCACGTGAGAATACATTCGTGTTTCATACTGCCATTTCCTGAGTCACGTGGAAACCGGAATTTTTTTAGGGAATTCATTGTTTCGCATTCTGACACAGTGTCTCAGGTGAAATCAATTCTTGAAGAGATCAAAAATTGGATATGGAACTCGTCTGTCTCTCGATAAAGTTACCTTCCGTGAAACTGTGAGAAAATTTGATGTCATGGATTCAGATAAAGCACAGCTGGATGGATAATTGAATGTCTATATAGGACGAGGACTATGTGCATGACCTAACCAAAGGCCCTGACTACAAATACTTAATTGAACGAAGAGTCAATGTGCGGAAAATTTGTGAGTTATACCGAACAGTTTACAGAAAAAACGCCCAATACTCCTTTGAAACAGAACAGAAAGAACGAATGATTTGCGCAGATGACCAAATAACACCACAGCAGCCCATCCATAAAAGGGACTAGTCACAGATGTCCTAAGTTCGTTACTCTAAATTCAACGTTTCTCTTTTTAGTTTTACTTTCTTTCATTAAATACACAATTTTTTAAATTTTTTTATCATACACTCATGTGATGAACAGCAGATGGGGTAAACCCCATAGACCCGAAGACCTGCTGTTCTGTGATGGAAACCTGTAACCTAAGCCCTGGGACTTGGAGTGGTTAACCACATAAGGCCCCGATAGGTTAGGAGTGGTTTTGAACCAGACGACAGCAAATTTGCCTACCACTAAAGTTGGGTGGCGGTAGCGGGGCTCGAACCTCAAACCGTAGGGTCTAAAGCACGCCAGTGACAGCGACTAAAGCACTGCGCCACCACCACCCAATGATATAATTTTCAGGAAGAGGGAAGCGACCAATCAAAGTGCTGCCATGCAACACCAAAAAAGGAAAGTCAGGATTCGAACATACACCCTCAGGGGCGGTAATCTGGTGACGTTACCAGCGCAAGAAAAAATCACGTGTAACGATCTGAGTTCGAACCCCACCACAGCTGCCACTCATCTTCCCACTTTCTGTGATTTCTCAGACAGCTTTTATATGGTCGCGGACCCCTTCCTGAAAGTTTATTGTTCACTTCTATAATTAATAAACAAAAAGGGTATTTAAAACAACAATTTCCATTATTTATTATAAGTGACACGTGTACACTTGCCTTCCACAGGAATGCGTTACAGCGAGAAATAAGTCCAGCCCACTAACCCCGGTCACTAGATTAACAACATCAGGCAGCCGCGTAAGAGTGCTTTAGTTTCTCTCACTGTTAAAAGTAACATTTCATCAATCATTATGCAAATGTAATAACGTCAATCATACAGACCTCTTATGACCTCCCTTAGAGAGACTCTTTTTAAGCCAGTTAGAATTTGATTTTTTGTTTCTAATGTCCTTGTAAATGGGATTAGCCTGGACAGAATCAAGAGACACTTTGTCCCCCGAATCGCCGAAAACACTCCCCCCCCCCAATGTGTTTATGAAGTTATTAAATGGCATTGTCCTTCACAAAACATCTAAAGGAAAGTAACCACCAAGTTGGCTTCCCAGATGCGCAATCCGAGAAAAAATTCTGCGCCTGATCGGGTCGCTTTCCATCAAAATGTCACATCTAGGTTGTGTGCATACAGAAAGTAACTGTATGAGACTCGGTCCTACCCGGTGATGTTCACAGAACGTTCAATATCGTGGTCACACAGACACACACACTATTAGTTCTCTTTTGTGTATCTGAAACGTATTTGCTTGTCCGTCAAACCCCCACCCGTTAAGCGTAATGGACCTAACGCACTTCACAGTGCTACTCCGTTCGATTGGCTGTACGGATTTAATGCCTTAACGGTGGGCATAATGTCAGCCTCAAACAAAACTGTTCGATCATCATTGAATTGTGCGTGATCTTGATCCAGTGTGCAAAACTAGTCTTTTCATTTCGCGAAATGTCTCTTTGTGAAGATGCAAACCACATATTTAAGCAGAAGATATTTACAGACTACCATCGAGCTAACCCATCATACAGAGTAACCAGACTTAGAGACGTACAACTCGCCTCTGACTCTCCGAGCGAACTTATCAGACACCAGTCAAAATGCGTTTATCCGCCGATTGGTGTACTCTGTTATCATAACCCATGGGTTTGTTATCAAGTAGGTTTGAATGGCCGCGTGTGCTGAATTGAAAAGTATTCTCGCTTTTTATATATAAATTTCTAACATATTTATGCTTTCGTTGTTTCATATAAGGTTGGACTTGAGCTAGATCGACTAAGCGTTGAACAGAGTTCCAGGTTTTGCATTCCATGCGGTCCAACAGAGTAATCTCCTCTATAGAACACCATTGTTAGAACATGTCCACCGAGATGGGAATTTGTGTATACCATTAAGGGGGAACAAAATTGTGAGTAGCAGACACATCCTTTTCCTTTGATCCATTGAAATAAAATAAGTAACGCAATATGAGCAGAATTGATATTGACCATCAATTTCGCGTGCTTTCAATCAGCGGTCTACGCATTTTAAATAGGTCGAATGTTATAAGAAGAACACCGTATATGGANCCTGGGTTCAGTTGGAAAGAACCGGATTGCTGAACCATTACCACTATCATTTGGGTATGGGTGAACGAGAAAGAGGGGATAATGATTACAAAGATTCCGGAAAAGGGGATGTTAGTATAAAAGCAGTTACTTAGTGGAAACCGATTAACCGTGTAGGAAAGAGGGTTGAAAATGGTCACGTAATACGAAACTGAACCCATGAAATCATGCGAAAAGTCCATATATGGTATTCTTCTTATAACATTCGACCTATTTAACGTGCGTAGACAGCTGATTGACAACACGCGAAATCGATGGCCAATATCAATCTGCTCATATTGTGTTACTTGTTTTATTAGAAATTGCGAATGAAGCTTGCGCAATAAACCAGGTGATTCCCTAAGCCGAAAACACACTGCTGAGTGAAATTTTCAGCTGCCATTCAGGTGCATTTTACCCGACGAAAGTGTGTGTTTAAAATGGTAACGGGTGGTCACAATCCACAAGTCCACTTCTGGTCGATCCAGTTTGAAGAAAACGCCGTTTGCACGTTTTACTCAGTTGAACCTATCTGCTTTTTTCGCTTTGTCCGGAATAACGACGTTTGAATTGTGCTCATGCGTCCCGAAAACTCAAACCCGTTGTGTCGGTTGAGTCCATCTTGCAACGACTGACAGCTGTGTCAGTAGCAGCCAAAGGTCAGCATAAAACTGCCGGCTCTCCCCACCACAAATACTCACACGCGAACGACTGTATTGTATTATGTTGTATGTTATATTATAGATGACTTGTGCAGGCAACTATGCCTAGATTTCAGCCAAAAATGTGTTCAGTGTGACATTGGGATAAAAAAATGGATTCCTAATTCGTATACAACAATGATAAAACTAAATGGTGTTCATCTTTGTAGATTTAAGATTAGTTCGTTAGAGATCCTCCCCGTGTCAGTGAGAATACGAGTCAGATAGGGAGCCGTTGAGTTGCGGTAACTGTTTATGCGTAAGGGTAAGCAGCGAAAATTTGATCCGGTTGTAGCGTGGGAACGGCAAGCAGATAAATCGGGATTGAGCGGATGACTGGGGTCATTGAGTATCTTATGAGCGAAATTCTCACATGGAGTGATATGCAAATTACATAATTTTGTTATCAAGGTGTATAAAGGAATAAGAGAAACACGGCTGATAGTTACCAGACCTCGACATAGAGTAATGAAATCTTTTTTAAGTAGTCCAGGGAAAATAAGGGGCGAACAATAAAGTATGACTGGAAAAATGCATTGAAAGCAGGCTCGCAATTCGATTGGCTGCGCTACATTTATGTTCACTGGCGCATTGGAATGTATTGCTTGGTTTCTGCCTTGTTCTCTCGACGTTCGTATCCCAGGGAATTATCACTACGCCTAAAGAATATTTATTATTCTTCTGTGTTATCCAACTGACATGGTTCCGCCCAAACTGGATTTTCTGCTCCGACTCAGGAGCATGTGTGTGTGTACGGGCTTGTGAGTTGTGCTCACCGATTACCATTTTAGGCACAGTTTGGTCGGATAAAAGTGCGACTGTACCGCAGCTGGAAATCCTACTCAGCAGTGTTTTCGTCTTAGCGAATCATATCATATCGCCTCGAATACGGTGAGAAGAATCATAAAGCTTAGACCTTAAAGTCTCCTAATCATTTGCGTTCGTATTCTTTTCAGAGGTTTGAACGACGTTTTCTCAAGATTATCCAAATGCGAAAAAGGGAACTCAGTGTGTGATGAAATGTATGTACATAGGTAAGTAGCGAACAGTGGGTTAGGGCTACTTCTAACGACCTGTATGAGTTGCCAACTTGTACAACAGAGCCACTCTAGCGAGATAGGTCCAAGATTCTAAGCTCTCCCGAACTGTCACTCATTTGAGCAAGTTGTCCTGAGTGAGTGGGAAGCTTTTCAACAGTTTTGGGGTACTATCATTGGGGCAACGATGTCAACCCACCGGCAAAATTGAACCCAGGACCGGGGAAATCGAACACACACTGCAGCTCGTTCTATTCAACTAACCACGGGTGGTTGATCAAACCGCTTTATCCCATTTCACGCATTCCACATTCATCATTGATACTCAGCTTAAAACATGTGGGGGTTGAGTTCAAAGAATAATTACTTCACCTTTTTTCATGATTTTAAGTATTGGATTCATTGTGAAACTGAAAAACTGTTCACCAAAGGCTATTGTCAAATAATTTATAATTTGACTTGTTTGTACATGGTACAAAACTCAATAGAATCAGCACTCTTGAATCCACTCTTGCTCTGGTCTCCAATACAACAGCTTGTTTGAACACAACCCAGACCGGATTACTGTGATTCACTACCGGAAGACTCGTTTACATCTTAATAGTGAGGCTTTGGTTTCCTACCGGAGAGGGATCGACAAATATGTGATGTTCTTTATGCTGGAACAAGAGTGAAACGCACACATACACACCTTGTTTCCCATCTTTTGAATTTAGGTATGATTATTCTGTGTGCTTCATATGTGCTGTTCTTGTTGCTAACCGCTCATAACCGTGGTTTACCGAAGACATCTCCCCCGCCCAAACCATTACTTCAACTGACGTTTAGGAAAAGCCTCGCCTTTTCGTGCCATTGGGCGTAAACGAACTACTCTGGCTGCTGGCCCAAATCAATCAATCAGTGAATTGGAGATGCAGACGAGCCTGAATGGTGACTCGGAATACGGATCCGCACGAAACTCCCAGTCTATTACACCCAATTCCACAACGGAGCTGCGCAAACCGCACCCGAAACGTCTGTCACGAGAGAAGACGGTCAGTGTGGTTGCTCGAACATCGGAATTGCCAATTCCGGCAGGAACTACCGGTCACGTTTCCCGTACGCGTACATCCTCGGTGTTGGGACTTACGTGTTTGGATTTCGGACACTCGTTCCCGGTGGAATTGGTGGATGTTCTCACTCTGTCGGGTCGTTTGTCTCCGGCTCAACTTCTTCGAACCACAGAACCCGCCAAATCGGACTTGGATGCTCTGTCAGTTGAACTCACCATGAGCAAACATTGGCTGGTCTTGACCACTGTCTCTGATCCGTCAATTTCGTCCAATTTTCCAGCACAACTATTGCTAGCTGTTCCAACCCGATCGATTTTCGCCTACTCCCTTGAAAAAAATCAAACTGTGTAAGTTTTTCACTTCTCTGCCATTATAATCTCTCATGAAATTGTTGTGAAGAAGAAAATGCCTTGAACAACTGTTTGTATTCGTGACGTCCAAGATTCGAACTCTGCCACCGCCAATTAACTCAAATGGCATCAAGCTGCACTGTCGTCCGGTTTGAAATCACGCTCATTCTACTGCGTCGCCATCCCACTTGTTTGGAATTAGTTTACGGGTTACTATCTGGTGGCTAACTATGAGAATAACTTAATCTGATGTTCAACATTTGATGTAATAAACCTTTTTTCTTCACATTTGAACTCGAGAGGATAGCTTTGCAGAACATCGAGGACCGTATTCGAGCGCGCAGTAATCAACGTCTTGAGGGGAGCAGCTTTGAACGATTGAATGATCTAAAGCTTAGACTTCGTATTTTGCAAATATGATTTCTCGATTGTTTTAAAGAGTCTAACTTTCGAAAGAAACACTCTCGACGATTGCTCACATTATTGATTCGATGAATTTGAAAGTCAACTAACTGTATATCGTCAAATGTCACATTCCGATTAGGTGTGATTGGGTGACCAGTAGTGAGCTGTTCGCTAGAGTTCAAGTGACAAAACTCACCACCTCATCGCCACGGAGACCGAGTATTCAAGCCCCAACATTTTTGTTATTTTTCATAAGGCAGGTCTTTGATCGGCCACTTAATCCCTTAGTCTGTTTCTGTTCTATTTCTGGATCCATCCAGACTGATCCATTTTCATCAAAAATGGGCCAAGTTCGTCTCACTTGGTCTCTAAAACCAATCGTTTCATCATCACCATCACCGTATCATGAGTAAAGAAGCAAGTGAACCGAGGTAATGCACTCTGTTGAGTGAATATCATCGGTACCCAACAATAACGTTTCACTTCATGTGTATCCGTGTGCCTGTTCACTCTCCTGGAGTGGATGGATGAGTGGTGGCGAGTAAAAGAGACACCATAGAAGTATGCAAATATATATGCCATTTAACTCACACTTACTTGTGAGTAGTGGTTTGAGATGTTTGATATTGATTTTAAATTGACTATCTTTCAGATTTCACCTTCATGCACAATCCTCAATTCTTCTAGCCAAACACTAGACTGAAGTTTCGCACTTATTAGAGCTCATCAGTAGTGCATATCCGTATTCCGGGCTTTGAACTCCGGTCCGAATGCATGTGTGTTACCCCTATGCCGACCAGCCGAATTGCCAATTCACGTTTGTTCAGGTATCGTCTTCAGTGATGGTCAATCAATTCATTCATGGCCCAACAAAAACGAAGGAAGATACAGATGACAATCTTTTAACTCCGGTTGAAAGATTCTCCTCAAAACACATCTTCCATGCAAAATACGGGCTAACCTGCCACAAACCCACCAGGTTGGATGAATAACTCATTTTTAACTCATAACTACATATATGCGTGCTTATATACATGCATACATAAATGCATACATACGTTATATATTTCACAATAAGTAGTATGAAAATTACTGGACAGAATTTCCCTGGAAGCACAAGACCGGTTTCGCGGTTCTTGCCGTTCGTCAGGCATGGGTATCCGGTAATTTTTAACCGTTATATATATATATCCGTCGGATTAGTTCGAACGTGTTTGCGTCTATGACACTCTTTGGCTTTAGAATTCCGATTATCTTTGATAGTCTCTGCTCTATCTGTTCCGTTGTATCCTTTTCTCCAGTCATCTGTGTTGTCACTGAATATGTTATTCATCCTGGAATATATTTTGGAACAATAATCCCAAGGTTGTATTGTTTACCCAAAGTACACAAAAATGGAATACCCCTCAGGCCAATTTTGGACGTGTGTAATTCCCATATCATGGAATATCCAAATGGCTTGGGACGATTTTGGATCCAGTGAGACCCACCCTCGCAACCCACAATTTACAGGACTCTTTCGCCGTGATAGGTTTAATGAGGAACATAAATGTGGATGGCCAACGAATGATATCCATGCACTTTAGCTCACTTTTCTCTAGTGTTCCTATCGCGGAGACTATTGAGTATTTATGTGATCAAGTCCAGGAAAAGAGTATCGAAATTGCAATACCCCTGACTTGAAACAGCTATCGTGCTTCTGCACACAGAACGTTTAAGTTCAATGAAGAAATCTATCACCAAAAGGATGGAGTCGCAATGGGATCCCCGCTCGGTCCTCTATTTGCGGATTCATTTATGTTCAAGCTGGAAAATTAAGCGATGTAAGCTGTACAGACGATACGTCGATGACATATTATGTTTTGTGGACAGTAACGTCAAGGTGTACAGCTTGCTCAGGATATTCAATTCCGCTCATCTCAACATCAAGTTCACATTGGAAAAAGAGGTTAATGACTGAATTGGTTTTCTCGACATCTGGTTAAATTGTTGCACAGATGGTTCTATTCAGAGATCTATTTATGGGAAACCGACTTGGAGCGGCCAGTATATCCATTTCAGAAGCTTTGTGCCACTCAAGCGAAGAAAACATCTTAATCAGTGATTGAATAACATGGTGGTGAAAATATGCACCGATGACACCATAAATGCGGAACTATCATTCAATCATGATGTTTTCCTACAAACTGGTTATCCAGAACGTTTTGCAAAACAACGGTCGGAGGGAAAGAATTTTAAGTGCAGAGAAGAAACCAGTATACATTTCTTACCCATTCCAAGCGGATACAATCGCAGAATTGGTTAGCCGCAAACTAG